TTTGAAAACCTCCTCCAGACGATGCAGGAATCGATGTTAGGACCTGCGTCATCATCTTCACTGGTCTTAAGACCTTCTTCATCACAAGTCTGTTTCTCCAGGTCTGCGTAGAACCATAACAGCTGGTTCATACCTGGAAGAGAGAGAGAGAGATACTAAGTAGGGAGAAGGGGAGAGAAGGTGTGAGACAGGGAGAAACCTGAAGGATTGGGGGAGGAAGTGATAATGAAAGTGAATGAGTGAATGTGCAAGAGAGAGAGAGAAGAATGGACTTACATAGAGGGACAAACGTAGCTCAGGAAGGGGTGGCGTGATAGATATACAGGATAAACGGATAATGGGTGATGGTGGGATAAACGCAAGAGAGGAGAGAAGGGAGTGGGAAGAGAGAGAGAGTGAGACGAGGGAATATACTTAAAAGAAAGTGTATAAATGTATCTCATGACGCATGCCAGTTAGAGTAGAATAATTCGAGAATTTAAAAGAGAAAGGGGGAAGAGAAGGGAAGCAAGAGAGAAGAAAGTAAAAAAGAGGAAGAGAAAATGAAAGAGAAAGAGAAAGAGATTGATGAGATTTCATGAGAGCTCTTGGCTTGTAATACCATGTAGTGACTCCCACTTTAATTCTGTAGAACTCTAGTGTTTGAAAGTGAGTAGTGAGGACGAATTGTAGAAAGAGAAAGAGAGATAAAGAGAAAGAGACTCACCGTTAAAATGCATAAAAAACACACGAGAAAAGACACGTTAAAAACACAAGAGTGAAAAAAATATTGTTTCAGAATTTTCCCTTGTGGGGAGAGAGAGAGAGAGAGAGAGAGAGAGAGAGAGAGAGAGAGAGAGAGAGAGAGAGAGAGAGAGAGAGAGAGAGTGAGAGAGAAACACTGATACACATTAAGAAAATAAATAAAACACAGCAATATATAACAGGAAGAAAAGAATAACGTTCACATTCGAAAGAATTCTAAGAAAATTCTATTGATTTCTCGTAGATTACGAAAGCGATTATTTTTATGACACAACAACAAATTGTGCCAAATACACGAATGTATAAAGCAGTAACATTAATAAGTGAGGCTGTAGGACTCACCGCAAGAGAAGGCGAAGAGTGTGAGTAGATACAGGAAGATAAACTTGAGAATGTCGACGACCATCCTGGAGAGGGAGACCTGTAGGGGCCCCAGGTAGGGGTTCACACTGAAGATGTACACCAACTTGAGCGAACTGCAGGGAGAGAGAGACAGTGGCTGTGAGATTGAGACAATGGCTGTGAGAGTGAGGCAGTGGCTGTGAAAGTGAGACAGTGGCTGTGAGAGTGAAACAGTGGCTGTGAGAGTGAGACAATGGCTGTGAGAGTGAGACAGTGGCTGTGAGAGTGAGACAGTGGCTGTGAGAGTGAGGCAGTGGCTGCGAGAGTGAGACAATGGCTGTGAGAGTGAGACAGTGACTGTGAGAGTAAGACAGTGGCTGTGAGAGTGAGACAATAGCTGTGAGAGTGAGACAGTGACTGTGAGAGTGAGGCAGTGGCTGTGAGAGTGAGGCAGTGGCTCTGAGAGTGAGACAGTGGCTCTGAGAGTGAGGCAGTGGCTCTGAGAGTGAGGCAGTGGCTGTGAGAGTGAGACAATGGATGTGAGAGTGAGGCAGTGGGTGTGAGAGTGAGGCAGTGGCTGTGAGAGTGAAACAGTGGCTGTGAGAGTGAGACAGTAGCTGTGAGAGTGAATCAGTGACTGTGAGAGTGAGTCAGTGGCTGTGAGAGTGATACAGTAGCTGTGAGAGTGAAACAGTGGCTGTGAGAGTAAGGCAGTGGCTGTGAGAGTGAAGCAACGGCTGTGAGAGTGAGGCAGTGGCTGTGAGAGTGAGGCAGTGGCTGCGAGAGTGAGACAATGGCTGTGAGAGTGAGACAGTGACTGTGAGAGTAAGACAGTGGCTGTGAGAGTGAGACAATGGCTGTGAGAGTGAGACAGTGACTGTGAGAGTGAGGCAGTGGCTGTGAGAGTGAGGCAGTGGCTCTGAGAGTGAGGCAGTGGCTCTGAGAGTGAGGCAGTGGCTCTGAGAGTGAGGCAGTGGCTGTGAGAGTGAGACAATGGATGTGAGAGTGAGGCAGTGGCTGTGAGAGTGAGGCAGTGGCTGTGAGAGTGAAACAGTGGCTGTGAGAGTGAGACAGTAGCTGTGAGAGTGAATCAGTGACTGTGAGAGTGAGTCAGTGGCTGTGAGAGTGATACAGTAGCTGTGAGAGTGAAACAGTGGCTGTGAGAGTAAGGCAGTGGCTGTGAGAGTGAAGCAACGGCTGTGAGAGTGAGGCAGTGGCTGTGAGAGTGAGGCAGTGGCTGCGAGAGTGAGACAATGGCTGTGAGAGTGAGACAGTGACTGTGAGAGTAAGACAGTGGCTGTGAGAGTGAGACAATGGCTGTGAGAGTGAGACAGTGACTGTGAGAGTGAGGCAGTGGCTGTGAGAGTGAGGCAGTGGCTCTGAGAGTGAGGCAGTGGCTCTGAGAGTGAGGCAGTGGCTCTGAGAGTGAGGCAGTGGCTGTGAGAGTGAGACAATGGATGTGAGAGTGAGGCAGTGGCTGTGAGAGTGAGGCAGTGGCTGTGAGAGTGAAACAGTGGCTGTGAGAGTGAGACAGTAGCTGTGAGAGTGAATCAGTGACTGTGAGAGTGAGTCAGTGGCTGTGAGAGTGATACAGTAGCTGTGAGAGTGAAACAGTGGCTGTGAGAGTAAGGCAGTGGCTGTGAGAGTGAAGCAACGGCTGTGAGAGTGAGGCAGTGGCTGTGAAAGAGTGAATATGTGTATGTTAGTGATAACTGTGTGAGAATGCTTACTATTGGAGGTAGGGTTTAGGAAGTGGGGTGGTGGTGGTGGTATTGTTATTAAGGGTGATGGTGTGCTGGAGGGTAGTGGTGGTGATGGTGTGACAGGTGATGGTAAGGGTTGCAGTCATAGCTATAGATGGTGATTGTGGCTGTGTGATAATAGTGACGTTAGTGGTGGTGATGTTAGTGGTGAGATGGATCTACACTGACCTGAAGATGTTGGCAGCAGAGAAGAGTCCCTCGGCTATCAGCATAGGATCCCAGGTATCCCACTGCTGGCGGGGCAGGTTATCAGTACCCAGGTTCTCTCTGATCTCCCTCTGCACCTGCCGGAGAAGAGGTGAGCACTCAGGTTCTCTCTGGTCGTCTCCTTCACTTACCTTACAAGGAAATCACATTAAAAAGTGAATTTCCGATGTCCCGGACGATCTCTCACTCCGTCAGTGTATTCAACAATACATTATTGATACATTGTTCCTGAAGGCTGCATTATTTGATTTCTTGCTGCACCTGCCATGGGAGGAGGCCAAGGGAAATCAGATTTTTTACCTGATGTCCCCTGTTGCTACTAGGGCAGGTTCTTGCTAAACAGTTTCACGTTGACTGCCTCAGTTCCTCCTGGCAAAAGTGGTCGGTAACAAAATTCTTTCATATTCCTTGTCACGTTGAAGGAAGCTGTAGTCCCATATAAGTCAGTGCAAGAATTGATAGAGGCTCGATTCTCCGTCCTTTAATAATGGCAAATTATGAGGAAGCTTAGAAATTCTGAGAGAGAAAAAGGTAGAAAGGTAGTAGGCAGAGGATATTATTCCTTCCTGAATCACATAGGGGAAAATTGTTCTGGGGGAATTGCTGGAGGTGAGGCAGTGGGAATGTTGCCACCTGGTAGCTAGTTTCCACCTGGTAGCTAGTTCCCACCTGGTAGCTAGATCCCACCTGGAGTACCTGACACGCACGCATATGTGCATGCACATACACTGGTAAGTACAATATATTCATGCAATAATTATGTAATGAAATAGGTATAATTTTAGATGTTAGCTGATGAGTTAGACAAAAGTGTGACATTTAGATATCTATATTAATGGAAAGTGTCTAGGAATGTAATTTACCTTATTATTTGACTAATTAAGATCTGTACGCAGATGAATTGTTTCGTCATTGAAGATACATAAGTGGTGAGTGTGTGTCCTGCTCATCAACATAGAGGATACATAAGTGGTGAGTGTGTGTCCTGCTCATCAACATAGAGGATACATAAGTGGTGAGTGTGTGTCCTGCTCATCAACTTTGAGGATACATAAGTGGTGAGTGTGTGTCCTGCTCATCAACATTGAAGATACATAAGTGGTGAGTGTGTGACCTGCTCATTAACATTGAAGATACGTAAGTGGTGAGTGTGTGTCCTGCTCATCAACATTGAAGATACATAAGTGGTGAGTGTGTGTTCTGCTCATCAACATTGAAGATACATAAGTGGTGAGTGTGTGTCCTGCTCATCAACATTGAAGATACATAAGTGGTGAGTGTGTGTCCTGCTCATCAGCATTGAAGATACATAAGTGGTGAGTGTGTTTTCTGCTCATCAACATAGAGGATACATAAGTGGTGAGTGTGTGTCCTGCTCATCAACATTGAAGATATATAAGTGGTGAGTGTGTGTCCTGCTCATTAACATTGAGGATACATTAGTGGTGAGTGTGTGTCCTGCTCATCAACATTGAGGATACATAAGTGGAGAGTGTGTGTCCTGCTCATTAACACTGAGGATACATTAGTGGTGAGTGTGTTTCCTGCTCATCAACATTGAAGATACATAAGTGGTGAGTGTGTGTTCTGCTCATCAACATTGAAGATACATAAGTGGTGAGTGTGTGTCCTGCTCATCAACATTGAGGATACATAAGTGGTGAGTGTGTGCCCTGCTCATCAACATTGGGGATACATAAGTGGTGAGTGTGTGTTCTGCTCATCAACATTGAAGATACATAAGTGGTGAGTGTGTGTCCTGCTTATCAACATTGAAGATACGTAAGTGGTGAGTGTGTGTCTTGTTCATCAATATTGAGGATACATAAGTGGTGAGCGTGTGTCCTGCTCATCAACATTGAAGATACATAAGTGGTGAGTGTGCGTCCTGCTCGTCAACATTGAGGATACATAAGTGGTGAGTGTGTGTCCTGCTCATCAACATTGAGGATACATAAGCAGTGAGTGTGTGTCCTGCTCATCAACTTTGAGGATACGTAAGTGCTGATTGTGTGTCCTGCTCATCAACATTGAGGATACATAAGTGGTGAGTGTGTGTCCTGCTCATCAGCATTGAGGATACATAAGTGGTGAGTGTGTGTCCTGCTCACCAACACTGAGGATACATAAGTGGTGATTGTGTGTCCTGCTCATCAACATTGAGGACACATAAGTGGTGAGTGTGTGTCCTGCTCATGAGCATTGAGGATACATAAGTGATGAGTGTGTGTCCTGCTCATCAACACTGAGGATACATAAGTGGTGAGTGTGTGTCCTGCTCATCAACATTGAGGATACATAAGTTGTGAGTGTGTCCTGCTCATCAACATTGAGGATACATAAGTGGTGAGTGTGTGTTCTGCTCATCAACACTGAGGATACATAAGTGGTGAGTGTGTGTTATGCTCATCAACATTGAGGATGCATAAGTGGTGAGTGTGTGTTCTGCTCATCAACATTGAAGATACATAAGTGGTGAGTGTGTGTCCTGCTTATCAACATTGAGGATACATAAGTGGTGAGTGTGTGTCCTGCTCATCAACATTGAGGATACATAAGTGGTGATTGTGTGTCCTGCTCATCAACATTGAGGATACATAAGTGGTGAGTGTGCGTCCTGCTCGTCAACATTGAGGATACATAAGTGGTGAGTGTGTGTCCTGCTCATCAACAATGAGGATACATAAGTAGTGAGTGTGTCCTGCTCATCAACATTGAGGATACGTAAGTTGTGACTGTGTGTCCTGCTCATCAACATTGAGGATACATAAGTGGTGAGTGTGTGTCCTGCTCATCAGCATTGAGGATACATAAGTGGTAAGTGTGTGTCCAGCTCATCAGCATTGAGGATACACAAGTGGTGAGTGTGTGTCCTGCTCATCAACAATGAGGATACATAAGTAGTGAGTGTGTGTCCTGCTCATCAACATTGAGGATACATAAGTGGTGAGTGTGTGTCCTGCTCATCAGCATTGAGGATACATAAGTGGTAAGTGTGTGTCCTGCTCATCAGCATTGAGGATACATAATTGGTGAGTGTGTGTCCTGCTCATCAACATTGAGGATGCATAAGTGGTGATTGTGAGTCTTGCTCATCAACATTGAGGATACATAAGTGGTGAGTGTGTGTCCTGCTCATCAACACTGAGGATACATAAGTGGTGAGTGTGTGTCCTGCTCATCAACATTGAGGATACATAAGTGGTGATTGTGTGTCCTGCTCATCAACATTGAGGATACATAAGTGTTGAGTGTGTGTCCTGCTCATCAACAGGTTTGTGTTGATAGTCATGTGGATGGACTATAGTCAGAGAATGTTATGTTTTAAACCAGGCGTTCAGTGCACAGTGCTAGCAATCCTTGCTATTTTTGGTAGTAGGACGGCAGGGGGGCAGCACCTTGCTGGGGAGGTGCTGCCCTTCTGTTATGTAAGTGTCAAAGAAGAACTTTGGGCAGGTGCTGCCCTCCTGTCATATGAGTGCCAAAGAAGAACTTTGGGCAGGTGCTGCCCTCCTGTCATACGAGTGCCAAAGAAGAACTTTGGGCAGGTGCTGCCCTCCTGTCATACGAGTGCCTAAGAAGAACTTTGGGCAGGTGCTGCCCTCCTGTCATACGAGTGCCAAAGAAGAACTTTGTAAATATTTTACACTGATAAGACTGATGACCTTTCATCTCTCACACAAATGTAAGTTAAAAGGGAAACGTGTGTAACTAAAACTATCATCCAGAACATTTCCCATTGTTAGTCTACGAAGGTTTTTTTCTCTATCCATCCTTTCCTTGTATCATCATACTAACTTTTTTATGTATCTGAAATACATACATACAAAATCGACAAAAACAAGAGAAACCACATTAAATTTTTGCAGACACATATATATAATCATAATTTTTTGGAGAAAATATTTCGAAAAATTAATTTAAAACATTTCTCACTCTCAAATTATATACACCCTGCAAAATCTTTTCAATATTCGTGATTTTATTCAGGTGAGTGTTTATAAGGCGAGGGTTCTCTCTTTCTCTCTCTCTGTCTCTCTCTGTCTCTGTCTTTCTCTCTCTGTCTCTGTCTGTCTCTCTCTGTCTCTCTTCCCCCTCTCTCTCTCTCTCTCTCTCCCTGCACCTATAATCCAAAGCTGTGTCACTACCAAGCGAGGCTGAACGTTGCTGGGTAGGCAGTAGCTAGTATGGGTTATGTTGCTTCACTGTGTCAGAGCTGCTGGAGTCTGTTGCTTCGTTCTCGTCTGCTTCTGGCAAGCAGGTCAAGTTCCACACAATATTTTTACAAATGACTAGCCAGGGGTTCGAACCCTATGTGTGGGGAGTTTACAATAGTGCTATAAAACGACAACCACTGCTGGGGTTCACACAAACAACAACCATTACTGGAGTTTCATACAAACAATAATCTCCATAAGTTTACAAAAAAATATTACTCAATAAGGTCTTATATAGTTAGTTGTAGCCAGAGTTGGAGAGTGAGCAGCGAAATATTTAGTGAAGGGAATCAGGAAAACCGGTTATTTTTATATAGCCGGTGTTGAGTCCTGGAAATGGGAAGTACAATGTCTGCACTCTAAAGGAGGAGTGTCGGGATATTAACAGTTTGGAGGGATATGTTGTGTCTCTTTATACGTATATACTTCCAAACTGTTCTATTCTGAGAACCTCTGCAAAAACAGTGATTATGTGTGAGTGAGGTGAAAGTGTTGAATGATGATGAAAGTATTTTCTTTTTGGGGATTTTCTTTCTATTTTGAGTCACCCTGCCTCGGTGGGAGACGGCCGACTTCTTGAAAGAATAAAATAACGGCTTGACAAAGCTCCGGGAGAGCGAAACGTTCCCACAATAAAATATCACATTAGTTGCACTTGTGTCCTTTCGTGTCCTTTTGTGTTCCTATTGTCGACAATTCTACCAACTTTATTACAATATAATATATATATATATATAAATATATATATATATATATATATATATATATAATATATATATATAATATATATATATATATACAATATATACATATATATATTATACATATAATATATATATATATATATATATTATTAATATATATAATATATAATATATATATAATATATATATATATATATATATATATATATATATATATTCAACAAGTCGGCCGTCTCCCATCGAGGCAGGGTGACCCAAAAAGAAAGAAAATCCCCAAAAAGAAAATATTTTCATCATTCAACACTTTCACCTCACTCACACATAATCACTGTTTTTGCAGAGGTGCCCAGAATACACAATGCAGAATAATATATAATATATTATATATATATATATATATATATATAATATATATATATATATATATATATATATATATATATATATATAATGCAAAACAACCACTCTGAAAGAATAGAGAAATTCCAAGCGCTTTTGTGACTAC